AAAAATAAATGAGCTAATAAAGGAGAGGGAAGAGAACTAACAGAAAATTTTTAAAGGAAGAAGTCCAAATGGCCAAAAAACACATGAAAAAATGCTCACCATCCCTGGGCATAAAGGAAATGCAATGAAAACCACACTAAGATTCCACCTTACCCCTGTTAGAATTGCTGCTATCAAGAACACCAACAGCAATACATGTTGGTGAGGATATGGGGAAAAAGGATCCCTCATACACTGCTGGTGGGAATGTAAGCTAGTATAACATTCCATAATGTATGTTTTACAGAAAACAATATGGAAGCTTCTTAAAAAACTAAATATAGGACTGCCATATGATCCAGCAATACCTCTCTTAGGATATACTCAAAGGAATGCAACTGAGGTTCTTACAAAGGCACCTGCACACCTATGTTTATTGCAGCATTATTCACAATAACCAAGGTATGGAAATAGCCAAGCTTCCTCACTACCAATGAATAAGTTAAAAAATGTATTATTTATATACAACAGAATTTTATTTAGCCACAAAGAAATTAATGGAACTGGAGAACATCATCTTAAGCAAAACTAGGCTCAGAAGACCAAAAATCACATATTCTTCTTCATATGTGGATTATAGACCTGAAGCAACTGCAGAAATATTATTGGATGTGGGTCATACACTAAGGGGAGACTGTGCATGGGAGAATAAGGAAAGGGAAGGAAACCTAAAACTTGATTTTGGTTGATATGCTCACTGTATAGAATATAGTAACCTCAAACTGGCAGAGACCACCACAGGAAGGGGCCTAGGAAGTAGTGAAGAGGTCTGGTAGAGATGAACCAATATGTGTTGTAATACACAATATGCATGGTAACAACACTAGGAATCTCTCTTTATAGCTATCTTTATCTAAAAATAGCAAAAAGCTACGTTTTTCTTATGTTTTCAGTTTAAAAAATTGGAGAAGAGGGAGGAACAGTTTCTGCCCAGAAGGTGGGAGGAGTGGGGAGATAGCCGAAACAATGTGTACACATGTAAGTAAATGTAAAAATGGTAAAACAAAAATAAACAAATAACTTCATTCAAAAGAAAAAATGTCCATGTCAAGATGGCTTCAATGTTGAATTTAGTTAAACATTTTAAAAAGAATCAACAGTAATCCTTCATGAACATTTCCAGAAATATAGAAGAGGGAATGCTTCCCAACTTATTGTATAAGACCAGTATATTGATACTGAAACCACACAAAAGTATCATAGTCATCTTTTATGACTATAGGTTCATAAGTTATCCATAAAAGGCTAGCATATTTCATTCATTAGTTTATAAAAACTTTTCTTCACTATGGCCAAGTGGAACTTGTGCCAAGAATAAGGTTGTTTCAATATAAACACCAATCAATATAATATACCATATTAAATGGATAAAGGGCATAGTGTTCAGTAATTCTAGTTTCTATTGATACCTGCTATTATTGCTATATTTTCTGGTTCTCCATCCATATATAACCATAAATGCTATATAGCATATAAATGTTTTAACTTTCATGCTATGTGATTTAAACAACATCCTGTCCTCCAGACTGCAGAATAATTGCTGTACTATGAGCTTGTAAGATGTGTGCACATATCGGCTGTGCAAATCTCCACTGCCCTGGGGATACTGTGTGTGAGAAAATATAAAGTGTGTTTCCATGGTGAACCTTCATCCACTGAATATGCAGTGAAATTCCTGAAGTTCTGAAAATTTCAATGGGAAGGCATAAAAATTAGGAAAGATTGATTTGCTTTCTGCATTGGGAAAGTTGAAGATTTTATCCTCTATTTACCTTCCAACTGTAGATATCACACTACCCTGAAAGCGTATCAACACAAGATTCATTCCCAGGGACAGAATATGTTCTAATGTGTTTATGGTAAAGTTGACAGACTTAGTATCTCAATCTTTTTTATGACTTCAGACAGTGAGGAAATTTCCTCAGGGATATGACCTCAGTGAAACTCCGGGTTGTTAACTACATGACATTTAGAGCCCTTCATGTCCCACTTCACAATCCTCAAGGGCTTAGTAGAGAAGCATTTTGTCATACAATATTCCAGATCATAAAATATAGGTTTTTACCAAGTTAGTTTCAACTGTAAGAAAAAAACTAATTAGTTGACTTATAGGTAAATACTTCAAAATATCTGTTTTTTAGTTACAATCTTTAAAAAAATCCAGAGTTAATTAATTCCTTGGAGGCAAAGCCTTAGATAGAATATGTCCTTTAAAAATATTCTCAGTATCCTCTCTATCCTCCATGATTCCAGAAGAATGTTTTCTTATGTTACAGACAGAATTGGGGGGGTATTAAGAGGTAAAACATTTGTGTCTATTTTTCGATAACTCTTGATCTAAGTTCAGAAAATCAGAAGAATCTCTTTAGTATCTGAAGATTTGATTCCAAATTCAACATAGCATTTTATTTTTCCTTTTGTAAATATTTCAATATGGGTTACAAAGGTCTTGGAGCTTAATGCTGGCTGAATCCATTTTAAGAAATTTGTGCAATTTTGTCTTTTTCTGCTTCCTGTAATATTGTGTCGTCAGTAGGGATTTGGGAAATACACATTGCATAAAGTGGTGTTTGAATAGCTGCTTGTAAGGATTACTTTGTGTTTTTGGCTACATTGCACAATCTCCTCAACTACAGAGACAGCCACAGTAAGTTATCTAGAATTGCTGACTTTTAATCTTATTTCTTAAATTTCCATTTTCCCCTTAATGTGTTTGCAATTAAAATTGTGGAAGCATTATTTTCTGATCATTTTCAGATGTTCTAGGATATTTTGTGGAAAAAATTTTATTGATATATGTTAATAAAAGAAAAATAAATATTTCTTATCCTAACTATGTTCTTTTTAACAGTATATCAGGAAAAGTTTTGCAATTTATGGAATTGCAAAGCCAATTTCTAGACTTTTAGGTGGAGTCTCTGGCTGGATCACTGAGAGTTTCTTCCCCGATAAGGTGTGTGATGTGGTGGTTTGATCATCAGAATGGTACATGTACAGTCACTCATTTCCTTGAAACAATGCTCTGCCTTAATAATTCCCAGGGATGAAAGAGAAGGAAGACAGCACTTTATACTCAGAGGAGGAGATATGAAAAGCAACCAGAATAAACAAAGGCAAATAAGAGGTAGAGCTGAGATAAGGTATGTGATCTTACTATAGTGAAGACAGTTCAGCATGGAAGAAGAGGAATGGCATTTGAATTGTTTTTCAAGGAACTTCTTCAACTGTGAAAGTGAGATACCAAAGAGGAATGCATTCAAAATATAGACTCTGTAAGGGAAGAGTGCATTTCTGCTGTGACTGGGAATCTATATTAAAGTCCAGGCTCAGGGACACTGCTTATTTTGACGTTATCAAACTTTGTCAGATATTATTTTAACCAGGGGACAGCTTGTTTAGGCTGCAGTGGATCTGATACTAGCAATGTGACTGAGTTTCTGCACCTTTCAACTCAGGTCTACCCCTTTTGGAGAATAAAGATAGGTATTATATGAATATAGAGGTATTATATGAATAGAAGTGTATCAACTTTTTAACGTTATAAAGATTCGATGAAATCATCTTTATAAATTTTTGTATAGTGCTGAGTATATGGAAAGCAGTCAATTGAAATATTACATAGGAAGTAGGTGATGAACAAGTATGCCTCTGCAGTTATTAAGAATGGGGAAAAGCAGAATTACAGTAGAGGTTTCATTTCAAAATGTTTGAGTCTGTGGAATTTAAATAAGTAATGATGTTTCCTCTGTCTGGGAGGAAGTTTGTCTTTTTAGATCCTTGCCTCTAAATTGTACTCTGAGAGTCCTGTTATGGAGATCAGATGTTTTCCTGCAAAAAATATGGGTATTAGAAGATTTGCATGTTAATGGGTACACTACTGATCTTTGCACTATGACAGAAAAAGAAACTGATTTTGTGCTTGAGACTGGCAACGGCAAAGACATCAATTTTAACTAAAGACTGGGTTGTTTTGTTTATGTTTGTGTCTGTGCAGTGTGAGGAAAATGGAGGAAGATGAAAATTGTAGAAGAAACTTGTTCTTTAAATATGTTCAGAATACTTCAAGATTTGTGAGAAATTGAACTAATTAAGTGAATTAATGGAGATGAATGAGTCAGTATAGGGTTTTCTAGGCTAGTTTTGATCATGAAAAGTTACCTATGCCACATACCTGGAAGTGGTAACACATCTTAGTCCATTGTTGGTTCTCCCAAGGGCTGTTAGAGTTCACTCAGTTTTGTTCTCACAGGGCTATGGTCCCTGGAAGGATTCTCTGACACATTGGGTTCTCCAGAAGGGAGGCCACAATTCTTGCTTTGGAGCTCTAAGATAGTTTCTCAGTGAGGCATTCAGGGGATCTTTTGGAACAGATGTCCTTTGTATGTAACTAGGTACATGTTATACTTAAATGTAACGGAGACAATTCATTTTGTACTTTATGGCCTTTGTGGTTTAAGAACACACAAATATTTTTTAATTTAAAATTTGAGGTCCAAGAAAAAGTGAGAATATTTTTCTTTTTTTCAATACGAGGTATTAAATCCAGGGTCTCACACATGCTAGGAAATTCTTTACCATTTAAGCTCCACTCCATTCTATTTGTTTTTATATTATTATTGAGGTAGAGTCTCAGCACTTTTTTTTTGACCTGGGCTAGCTTTGAACTCATGATTCCTATCTCCACATCCCAAGGAACTTAATTATAGGTTTGTCACCATGCCTGACTAAAGTGAGAATTAATAATGACAGAACAGTTAAAAAATACTATTTCAAAGTTTAATTGAATGATATGTGCATTCTTCATCAAATAAATAAGAATAGATTTTGTATTAAATGGATTGTGACTGATTATTATGTTTTATTGAATTATTTTATGGTTCTTTTTTCCCTTTCCTTTCCCTGAAGGTGAATAAAATATTCCTACCTGGAGTATTTTATTTAAAATCAACCCCACCACCTAGATGGAGAATGAAAGAAACGTGACTGAATTTATTTTAATGGGTCTTACACAAAACCCCCAAATGCAGAAAGTAGTGTTTGTGACATTTTTGGTTCTGTACATGATAACGTTATCAGGAAATCTTCTCATTGTGGTCACCATTATCAATAGCCATGCCCTAAATTCCCCCATGTACTTCTTCCTGAGTCACCTTTCTTTGATAGATACAATTTATATGTCTTCTTCAGCTCCTAAGCTGATTATGGACTCCCTGCAAGAGAAGAAAGTCATCTCCTTTAATGGATGTATGGCTCAAGTCTATGCAGAACACATTTTTGGTGCTGTTGAGATCATCTTGCTGACAGTGATGGCCTATGATCGCTATGTGGCTATCTGTAAACCTCTGCACTATCTGACCATCATGAGCCACAAGCTATGCTATGCATGCTCTTGGTGGGAGTAGCTTGGACTGGAGGATTTCTCCATGCAACTATCCAGACCCTCTTCACAGTCTGGCTACCGTTCTGTGGCCCCAACGTCATAGACCATGACACTCATACTCTTGGTGTCTTTATTGCTGCTAACAGTGGGTTCATCTGCCTATTCAACTTCCTCCTCTTGATGGGATCCTATGTGGTCATCCTGCGTTCCTTAAAGAATTGCAGCTTAGAGGGGAGGCGCAAAGCCCTCTCTACCTGTGTGTCTCACATCACAATAGTCGTCTTATCCTTTGTACCCTGCATATTTATGTATCTGCACCCGGTTAC